GATACAAGTGCATCATCTTGCATGGGGACTATGTGGAAAAGTGATATGTTCAAGTGCTCACAGTTACTTCTATTACATTTATTTAGCATTTACTTTTTGATAGATAGGTAGATTAGATAGACAGACAGACACTGCCTGTCCAAAAAAAAGGTACTCACTCTAATATTTCATTGGACTGCCTTTAGCTTTGATTTCAGCACGCATTCACCATATCATTTCGATAAGCTTATGCAGTCCTAAAATGTATTTCCATCTAGACTAGGTCTGGACTCCGGTTAAGGTCTGGACTCTGTAGTGGACAATCCATTTGAGAAAATTATCTCACGCTCTCTGAACCACTCTTTCATAACCAGAGCCCAATGAATCCTGGCATTGTCATCTTAGAATACGCCCAGTGTGTCATCAGGGAAGAAAAGATCCATCGATGGAAAAACATGGTCATGCAGTATATGCAGGTAGGCAGCTGACCTCATTTTTGGACACGTTGATGAACCTAGGCCTATTCCATTGCCCATAGACTTCCAATCTGGTCTGGCTGAAAAACTGACAGACGGACCCAATCAGAACGCTCATGTGAAAAGGGCCTTAGTGCTGGACGCCGACAGAACCACTAAATGTGGGTGCCATTTTAAGAGAACACTATGAAAAAATGCCGTCCCTTTGCCCTTCATGAAAATGGCACCAGAGCAAAGGCAGCAGACAGATCCACCATGAATAGAGGCAGAAAACAAGTCAATTCTGTTTCATCCCACACTTTCGGAAGTATTAGGCATGGCTTCAACTGAGACTGTTGCACTAATACCAGATGCTAATTTATCAACGTAACAGCGTGATTGATGAGCACTTTTCCCTGCTGCACATTGCTTGAAAAGTCTGCAGTGGTGATATGGTAACTTTAAGTTTGCATATATCCCTTATAAGTGTTTGTTAGGCTGATTGCCTGCGGCACGCTGCATTGTATCTTAACAACAAAAAGTCCTCCTATTACTGTCAAAATTCCAGACTTCTAAGGATCAGTTGTTTTGTTAAATGTTGGTCTTTTCACTACTGCCCTCTGCTGATATATAAGAGACCAGCCAGTGTCATACTGAACTACCGACAGTGTATAAACAAGAGCATGATCCAACAACTAATCGATTTAATTGATGATAATCAATGAGAATCGTTGTCAACGATTCTCATTATCGATTAGTTGAACCGCCACCCCTCTGCCCTGTTCTTCTCCTCGCTGTGAGCCACTGCATGCTGTGGTCTGTGTCCTCTTCAACTGAAAGGGACAGAGCACTGCAGCCGGCGCCTAGTGGGGAGAAGAGACCGCTGTGCCTCTGCATTCCCCTGCTGCTGTGTCCTTTCACCTTCAGTTTTCTCCTCAGATGATTGACAGCAGGCAGTAGGTGGGTGCAATAGCCAGCCTGCAATTGGCAAGTGCAATTTAAAATAGCCAATAGCAAGCTGGCTATTTCTCCCAGCCTGCCTTAGCAAGGAGGTGGAATGCAACTGTCGTTTCCCATTGAAGTTGGAAGGTGACACTAGGGGTTTGGTAGACCCTAATGTCACCTTAAAGAGAACTTGTCACCTCCAATGTGCTATCACATAGGCGGCTTGTGAGGCGTACCCCCAACCCCCGAGCCCCCCCCCATGTGATAGCAATAAAGTAAAAAAATACGCATATACAAGTGTAAAGTCCCCCCACCCCGGGAACGCCTGCACACTTGGGTGCACCTACGTACAAAGACGCCGATTGCGCTACACATGTCCGGTATCGCTGCATACTCCAGAGTGAAAGAAAAAATTCTCAGGCCAGTATTCATAGCTACCTCTAAACTGATGGCTGGTATTTTTTATATAATTGTATTTTCTTGTCCAATTTTGGTGTGTCATTTTAAATAAAAGCTTGGGTACTTTATTATATTAGTTTGGACTTTTACAATTCAGACTATTTTAAATCCATGAAACTAAATTAAAATGTATAATAAAAATACATGTCATTATTTCAAAAATATATAAAAAAGTAAAAAAGGAGGGAAAGATTGTTTTTGGTTTCGAACTGACAAATTCTGCTGCGGGATGTGCGTTGTGGTGCCATTCGTTTTCGATGGCACCCCAAACGCACCACCTGTGTAATTGCCCGCACTGTAATGCACGGTACTGCAATGCTGCCCGCTCAAGTGCAGTGCGATTGTAAAAAATGTTAATGTAGTTTTATTCTATAGTAAACTTTATGTTTGTAACACTCCATTTGTTTCATTTTGAATAATGGAAGGTATTTAATTTTTTTATTTTTTTTTTAACCAATTACTGGAAAACAATAATTGGCCAACTAATTGATTATGAAAATAAACAGTACCTGCAGCCCTAGATACATGGAACTGGGAATATTAATGTCAGATGGAAAAAAATCTACAATCATAGGATTCAGAAATCAATAACCCCAACCATTTGTGTATAAGGTTAGCTTAAAGCAGAACTACAGGATTTTTTTTTTGTCATCAACCCATGCAGTGGGGCTGCACTGCAAGGGTTAATTTCCCGTTTGTGTTAAACATGGCAAAGATATACTCACCCAAAGCTCCAAGCTGGCTTCTTCTTAGACCAGTCCCTGGAATGTGTCTCCTCCTCCTCCGCAGCGGTCTAAGGTCCAGTAAATTATCATGTCTATACATTGTGCATAGGCGTGAGGCCCCCGAGGAACATTCCAATGTGCTGTGGAGGAGGGGACAGGCTGGAGAGAGCACCGTGACAACTGGCTGGCTCAGAACTTTGGGCGAGTATATCTTATCTATGGACACAATAGACACAAACAAGCACTTAATCCCTGCAATGAAGGGGTAGTCCCACTGCAAGGGTTAATACAAAAAAAATGCCTGGAGTTCTTCTTTAAGGGAAATCTGTACAAATATGAATATGGCTGCCTTGTTCTGAAACTGCAAGTTGCCTGCCCGTGCCTGGCGTTCTTACTATAACAAGCAAGCAGACCTGCAAAATAAGAGTGGTCACAACTCTTCTGCATACTTGTCCCAGGTCAGAGGTTTAAAAAGTAATGAGGCCAATGGACCACAATGACAACCAAGAAACTGTATTTTTATGGAAAGTTGTCCAGCAATAGCAGTAACCAAAAGGTCCTTAGCACAGGTTCTCTTTTAGAGCTTACAACAGTAGGTACAATGAAACGCTGATCACAAAAGAAAAAATACTGACTAATTCAGCCCAATACCAGACTAAAATGAAATTGAATACCTTTGCCTGGCACCACGCTACGGAGATGCTTACATAAAGAAAAGGTTATTAGGTTACACTTCCAGTCAAAAGATAGATTTTCTCTGACTGGCAGTGCGGCAAGGGAATATGGAGCCGGTTTCCCGATCAATCAGGCAGCAGGTAATGACTTCCTGATTGGCTGGGGAGCCGGCTTCTTGGCCAATTAGCATGGAGCCAGCGTCCCGGCCTAACATCAGTGCTTACTTTTATGTGAATAGCTTCATTCTGATAACTATAACTACTAGACACCCAGGGCCAATAATGTTCCACATGCAGACAGCTGGAGCATCCGTTGCAAATTAAACACTAAACTCAGGAGTTAAACCTTAAAAATTAATTTAAGTACCCTAACCATTAACAAAAATGTATCTTATTTGTGTATCACTCGGCTGTAGATCCTCAAATCATCTCTGAATTGGCGCTGACACTGTCCTTCCTTCTGGAGGGGGGCTACTTTTGTTCCACATGGTCCCAGTGTGTGTTGTAAAGCAGCAGCCACTCCAAGCTCACTCCCGTGATGGACTACAATCGCATGTTTAGTTTATTCATTTGTATTAAGATTGTAGTCCATCAATGAGTGAGCTTGGATCAGTGGCTACGTTACAACACAAACAAGGACCATGGGGAACAAAAGTAGCCACCCTCCAGAAGGAAGGACAGTGTCAGCACCAATTCAGAAATGATTTGAGGATCTACAGCCGAGTGATACACAAATAAGATACATTTTTGTTAATAGTGAAGGTACTTGAATGCTTTTTTAAGGTTTAATTCCTGAGTTTAGTGTTACTTTAGAGTTGCATAATTTTAGCTTAAGGCAAAAATCTGTTTTTAATTTCATTTTCATGTTAAAGGTTTGAACAAAGAGGCCATTATTACATATGTTTTCCCTATCAGAACATAATGTAAGAAAACAGTCATTGAGATGGAAAATTGAAGAGAAGAGCTGTACTGTGTCCAATACAACACAATACATGACAATGTAAAAGCCGGTAAACTTAAAGTGGAACCTCAGTTAGAAAATAGTTTGGTTTTTACTGCAGGAGAGACTGTATGTCTTTTCTGCAATAAACATGTATTACCTTCCGGCTAGCAAGTATCTAAAGACTACATGCACAGCTCAGTGTACAATCTTGGCATGCTTTGGTGCGGTGATAAATTAACTCCAGTGCACATTGGAGGGAGTACCATTACCCTGCGTCAGTCAATCAAGATGGCATTAGGCGCTGAACCTGGAAGAAGACCAGGCAAAGATGTCAGCAGAGGAGAGGGAGCTCACAGATGTTTTATCGTTCAAAGGGAGGTAAATGCTGAGGACTTTGGTTCCACTTTAACTAGAAGCTTGTTAAAAATAATTACTACTGATACAACTTTTTCTGTGAATAAATATCAAGATTACCAAGACTGACTTCTGATGGAACGAGGGAAATTTTCCTATGCACAGCCGACTCCCTTTCGGAAGTCAGTTAATCCAACTAAAAGTCATCAAACAGGCAGCTTTGCTAAGCATGCTTCATCCTACCCTTACTAGCTAACCAATATTAGCTTTATAGCAAATGTTAATCCAGTAAGACGTATTTAATGCTTTGTAGAACTATGTGAATGACATTAGTAGCATTGTTACACAAAGACAACATACTTTCGGTTTATCAGGTAAAAGTTAGCAGTGTGTATTTATCTTTCTACTGCATTGGGTTTCATTAGCACTGACAGTCACAGACCAGCAGAGAAAATACAGGAAATAGAACTTAAACAGTTCAAACCATCAGCCGGTATCAGAATAGTAGAGTTCCAATTCACCAGTCTGGTAAGTAACATACGGCAAACACTTTGCCTGTTCAGAGCCCAGTAAGTCCTGCCCCAAGACTTTCAGATCTACGTGCTTGATCTTCCAATTTTTACCAATCGGACATCGTATTAGTCCAAAGATCTGTTCAAATATTCCCAAACAGGCCCCATCCCTGTGGATTGTACCAGCAACTGCCACCACAACCAGTCCATGAGGAGTAGACACACATTTTAATCCTCCGCTGTCAGTGCTGGGGCTAAATATCAGTCTCTCGTCTCGGGTAAGTGCAAGCAGCCGTAGACTCGCCATCTGAGCGCCGTTGTGCTCCTCAACATCCTGCTCCTCTGCTTTGTAGGCAAACTTAAGTATGGCATTCTCCCAGAAGTGCTGAGGTCCCCAGTCCCCCTTTTCTTGTCCAAACGAAGCATTCTGGGAGTTCAGAAGAATGTAGAACCACTCACAAAACTTTTCACCAAGTAATTTATAGTCCAGCTGCTCCAGATGGGGTTTTGTTTCTTGCACCTGGAAAAGTTAAAAGGTATGAACCTTCCCTTTTTTTAATAACTGTGTTTCATTCTATTGTATGGTCTATAAGTTCTAACACACATACCATTTAAAGTAAGCTGGGTTTTGCTCTGAAGTCAGAACTTTTGATTCGTACAACTAAGTCATGGCCTCAAAGTATAACATAAGGCCTGTGGCGGAACAGAACTGCTTGCAGCATGCCGGGCCAGTATGCCTCATATCAGCTGCCTTACGTTCTGCTATAAGCTCATGATCACTGAAGTGACTCTTCTGATTAGGGAATAGCTGCCATCAGTGGCTGGCAATTGTACCGACCTCCTGACATAACCTCATCTTTTATATTTGACAAAAAGAGATCGGTATTATATTGTGTTTTTGGGCACTAAAATTAACTTAAGAGAACTATGAGGGTAACCTTTTTATCCCATAGTTCTCTTTCGGGTCATGGTAGGACATATACTAACATCCTCCAGTGACCCAAAGCTCAGTATATAGCGAGCTGATGCCCGCTATATACTGAGAGTGCTGCAGCCGGGACGGATCTCGACAATACTGTCGAGATCAACCCTGCTGGCTGATTGACAGCGGGCTCTGCCTATCTTGAGGCAGAGCCGCTGTGCCCACAGCCTCCCCCGTCCCTTTGGATCGGAGAGGGGGGGAATCCCTATGGGGAGCAGTGACTGACAGTCACCGCTCTCTGCAGGGAGATGATCGGGAAGTGAGCGAGCGACGGTATGTGTTCGCTCACTTCCCAATCTATAGAGCCGACCTGTGACAGTTTCAATGTCACAGGTCGGCTCTAACTATGAGGATGAGTGTAAATCTCTAACCTCATAGTTCTCCTTTAAGTGTAATTTTTACTGAAATTTTGGGTTTGATAAAGAGTTGCACTAATATCATGCAACATAGAAATGTGTAACTGCCTGCATTTTATTTTACAGGAAATATAAAATGTTTGGAGGTTACAAGTAATTTTCAGGCCCAAAATGTGGATTGTAACATGTGTGCAAAGAAAAAAAGCCTTGGCAGCAAAAGGGTTAATAAAGACGGCCTTTTACGGTACTGAACTGCATGAGCGTAGCGCTTTCTGTAAGGAAATAAATTATGCAAATATATATGTAACACATGGACAGCCACTGACAAGAGGCGATTCTGCACTCAGTGACACAGCAGCTGCCACGTGGTCAGTATTGTCCTGATCTGGCCAATGTTATGTGCCAACCTTATGTGCCAAAGACAATGACAACACATTGCCCTGCTGACCTTCTTTCCCGGTTCTGACGTCTTGTAAACTCTCGGCCCGGCCCAGTGATCAATCGCATACTGGATCAGCTGACTCTTTTCACTGGATGGTGGCACTGCAAGTTTTTCTGCGGCCAGGTACTTAAAAATGGCGTCGCGGTTAACTTTCCGTCTCTTCAAGAGCTCTGTAGCGTCCTTGCTGTATACTAGTATGGCATCGATGGCCTCTAAAAGATTGAAACAAACATACAGTGCGTACAATGAGGAATAACACCCAACGCAAATACAAACATGAATCTACATTCAGCATTACAGAAAACAATGTTGTGTTCAGCCAAATACAGCAATCTGATAACATTGGTACCAGAAATCACAGCTGGAGCTTAGCCCACTCAGAGGTACCAGGTAGCCAATGTGTCTAAAGAACTACAGCTAGCAAACGTTTGGGGACTTTTGTCTTTCTGCTCCTTTCTTGTACCATACGCAGCGCAGTGTTATCAGTGTACATCATCCACACATCTTTGTGTCAGGATGAATTAAAGTGGCCATGTTAACTAAGGGCAAATTACTAGATCTCCCTTTACTTCCTGGATTTCTGGCACATGTGACCATGCACATCATCATCTCAGGGGAGGAAAATGGCTTTCCCTGAGATCTCCCAGCAATGCTCTGCTGATGTAATCTTCCCAAGATGCAATGCTCGGGCACAATTACATCATTGGTGCCAGAACTGGACCAGGAAGTAGATGAACTCTATTTGTAAGTAAATGAAAAACAAGTTTATAGGAGAACTATGAGGTGAGTGAAAATCACTCATCCTCATATTTCGAGCCGACGTGTGACAATGAAACTGTCACACGTCGGATCAATAAATCGGGAAGTGAGCGAACGCATACCATTACTCGCTCACTTCTCAATCATCTCCCTGCAGAGAGCAGTGACTGTCAATCACCGCTCCCCATAGGGATTCCCCCCACTCATTCAGCACTGACTGGAAGAACGGACAGGGGAGGGTACAGCTGGCTCTGCCTCTAGATAGGCAGGGCCAGCTGTCATTCACGAAGCTGGGTGGATCTCGACAGTAATGTTGGGATTCGTCCCGGCTGCGGTGGTCTCAGTATACCGTGATCTGTAGCTCGCAATATACTGAGCTTTAGGTCACGGTTGGAGGTTAGTATATGTCCTCCCGTGACCCTTAAGAGAACTATGGGGATAAACACTTGCCCCATAGTTCCCTTTTAACTAATGAATGAAAGATGATTTTAAATCAGCATGCAGAGCTGTAAGCTGATGTGATATTTAGTAAAAGGGGGTGAAGGTTCACTTTACTCCTCGTGGAGGCCCTAGACGTAACTTATTTACATTGCAGTGTTTAAGGGGGAAAATCCATGCGTTCTGCTTTAAATGAACTCTGTTTCATAAAGTTTTTGAAGAATGCATTGTGACGCATGTCCACAATGAACACCTGTGGACATGTCTTCTGCATACCTTACCACCCCCGCTGGTGGTGATGGGACTTTGAGGACACTCCTCTGTACAGGAAGCTGCAGGCTCCCTGTATAGACCCGGCCACAGCTATCACCCATCATCTCATGCCTATGGGACAGAACACTGTACCAGGTAACAGCCCGCTCACCTTCCCGGTCATAGACACGGATGAGCCGGTTAGTGACAGTTTCCGCCACAGAGAAGAGCTCCGAGGTGTCCAGCCCCTCCAACAACTGGCGGCAGCCCTCCTTTTCCCGGGCGCTGAGCCCCGCCATGGCTGACCCCTTCGGTGTAACACCCACTACTTCCGGCTTCACACTGACAGCCGAAAAACGAAACCAAAGCCGACATTCTACTTCCGGCGACGTCATCTGCCGGAACTTTCTACGGAGGCACACCGGAAGCTAGAAAGGCGCACGGCATGCCGGGAGTTGTAGTTCATGTCCATGACCTGGAGAATCACGGCTGTTTAGGAATGCAGTATGTTCATCAGATCAGTTCTCTGAGTAAAAGCGTCACTGCGGCTCTGAGTTAAAAGGACATTTGGTTGAGCTTCCAAAGCAGAATATTTGTGGTGTTTACATTTTTTTTTTCAATTTCTTTAATCAGGATCAGATGTAGGACTTCTGCACTTGGGTGCCTGGGGCTGTACAATGTATAGTTAAGGCATATTTCCCCTCCTGGGCGCCACAGGTGCTGCATACAGCCTCCCAATAGTAGGCAGGTACACGGGGTACTTGTGTAAAAATAGGCACATGCATAAAGACATACAGCCCTGGAGGCAGACAGTCTGCGTCTGGTGTTGTACATCTAAACTCATGCACGCAATTACACACGTATCAGCTTATACGGCCCTACAGCCTCGGACAGCCATTGTTTTCTATGGGTGGCTGTACGCAGCACCTGTGGCACCCAGGTGGCGAAAGATGCCCACATTTTTTGTTGTATGGCCCCAGGAGCCCATGTGCATGAGACCTAAATCCCAAATAAACTAACACAAAAGTTGGGAGCAGACAGGCTCTAAAGCTGAAGAGACATGTTATGTTACTTCTGCAATAAAACAATCTTTCGTGTTCACAATCTTCTTTAGAATGTACACTGAGCTATGCATGCTCAGCTCCATGTACATTCTCGGCACATCTCCGTACAAGAATGGATCTACTAGATTGTAAGCTCTCACAGCAGGGCCCTCCTAACCCTATTGTACTGAAATTCTATTGCAACTGTACTGTCGCCCCCATTTATAAAGTGTTGGTGCTGCATAAATCCTGTATTATAAGAATACTAAGAATGAATTCCTGCGCACATGCATGGGAGTTACGTCATTCCGATTTGGCCAATAAAGATGGCCGAAGAATCCGAACCCAGAAGAAGGCGGCTGGGGGAAATGCCAGTGCTGGCGAGAGTGATAGGGAGTGAATTTAGTTCAGCTTTTAGGCTGTGTTCACACCATGTCTGGACCAGATCTGCAAACTTAGTGCAGTGTATTTTTACCACATTCCAGCATTTTTTTTTTCCTAGCTTAAAATGGGCTTTCAGGTACTTTCCAGTGCGCCTGCATGCATTTTTGATGCGTTCCGTTGCAATCAAGTGCAGCTAAATTTGGCAAGCAGGATTTTTTCTGAATACCAGAACTGAATGCACTGGTGTAAACAGAGCACCACAAATCCAGTTGGAAAGCATTGTGACACGATTCTGATGCATCTGCCGAACTGAATGGACTGCATCTGGTGTGAACTAGCCCTAAATCTGAATTCTACCTAAAAAGTTAAATGCATTCAAGTACCTCGACTATTAACAAAAATGTATCTTATTTGTGTATCACTCGGCTGTAGATCCTCCAATCATCTCTGAATTGGTGCTGACACTGTCCTTCCTTCTTTGTAAACTAAACTTGAGATTGTAGTCCATCACGGGAGTGAGCTTGGAGCGGTGGCTACTTTACAACACGCACAGGGACCATGGGGAACAAAAGTAGTCACCCTCCAGAAGGAAGGACAGTGTCAGCACCAATACAGAGATGATTTGAGGATCTACAGACGAGTGACACACAAATAAGATACATTTTTGATAATAAAGTATTTGAATGCATTTTTAAGATTTAACTCCTTAAAGAAAGAAAAAAAGGTAGAATTCAGATTTAAAGGGTGGCTACTTCTGTTCCCTATGGTTCCTTTGTGTGTTCTATGTGAGCCATTGCTCCGAGCTCACTCCTGTGATGGACTACAATCTCATGTTTAGTTTACTAATTTGTATTGAGATTGTAGTCCATCACGGGGGGGCTTGGAGCGGTGGCTACTTTACAACACACACAGGGACCATGGGGAAGAAAAGTAGCCACATTCCAGAAGGAGGGACAGTGTCAGCGCCAATTCAGAGATGATTTGGGGATCTATAGCCGAGTGATACACAAAGAAGATACATTTTTGTTAATAATTAAAGTACTTGAATATATTTCTAAGATTTACCTCCTGAGTTTTGTGCCACTTTTTAATTGATTGCCCAGAAATTTTTAAAACTAAAATGAGCTCTGGCAGCCAAATGGTGTTATTTGAAGTGCCCTGAACTCAAAAATTTAAGATTTGCATATGTTATAGGGAACATTAAGACATTTCCTGAACAATTTAAATTTTCTCCTGAATTCCATTCCAAAAATAGCAGTACACTTCCTGTGCCTTGATCCTGTGTGAGATCACCTGTGCGGTTTTGTTTGCTGCAGAACTTCTAATCTCCTCATGCAAGGCTATGGGAATGCAAAACGCAGCTAAAGCAGGTCAGATGTCCCCCTTGCAATGAATTCTGAAGGATCTAAATCTGAAGTCAGAAGGTCACTGCATTTCCCCAAGCCCTAAGGCATTGCTACCTCAGACTTTTAGTCTGAGGAGATTTGGAGTAAGATTTATTGATGTCCCTACTGTGCTGCTCACTGTTTTTCTTGCTAGAGAGGAAGATGCACCCAACAACCTGCAGTGCAAGCATCTCTCTGCTTCTTTTATTTTGTGAATCTGTGATTTCTGTATCTGCTGCTTCTTAGTCATTACTGCACCAGTCATCAGATCACCACTCATCAGTGAGACAGCTTTGACATCAGGAAACAAAGCCCTGCCTCCACCAAGATGACCGCCTCCACACTCAGCAGAGGCCTGGTAAGTCAGTGATGAATTAGGGACCAATAAATAAAAAATATAAATAAAAAGGACTAAAATTCGGAGCCGCTGAGTAAGATGGCCGCAGTCTGACAGGGCTCCGCAACACCCGGTCCCCTGAGAGCTACAATAAGCTATTAATCTCACCTTGAGTGACACCGGGACATTGGGCATTACTCCCCGATCTCCTACAAGGTCTTAAGTCCCTGATAGGTCAGACTTTTTCCTGCCTTTCTCCACCTACCTTGCAGAAGTGGGGTCCTTGGTTTTTATCCCACCCTGGCTACAACCTGCATGGAGTTTGCATGTTCACCTTGTGCTTGCCTGGATTTCCTCCAGGCACTCTTGTTTCCTCCCACACTCCAAATATATGCTGGCAGGTAAGTTGACATATGCATTCATGTGTACGTATTAGAAATAAAGATTTTAGATTGTAAGCTCTTTGAGAGCAGGGACTGATGTGGATGTACAGCATATAACTTATTATAAAGCTAAATAAATTGCCGTAATACATACACTATATTGCCAAAATTATTGAGACGCCAGCCTTTACAAGCACATGAACTTTAACCTTTCCCCCCCCCCTTTTTTCCCCCCCTCACCCCTCACCTTGAATCCCGGGATCCGCTGCCCCATCTTGAATCCCGGGACCGGCTCGGAGGGCGTCAGGAGGAGGACGGGAGATCAGCTCCTTGCTGATCTCCGTCCGGGATGTATCTATCGGGTTGAGGTCAGGACTCTATGCAGGCCAGTCAAGTTCCTCCACCCCAAACTCCCCCATCCATGTCTTTATGGACCTTGCTTTGTGCACTGGTGCAGTCATGTTGGAACAGGAAGGGGCCATCCCCAAACTGTTCCCACAAAGTTGGGAGCATGCAATTGTCCAAAATGTCTTGGTATGCCGATACCTTAAGAGTTCCCTTCCCTGGAACTAAGGGGCCAAGCCCAACCCCTGAAAAACAACCCCACACCATAATCCCACCTCCACCAAACTTTACACTTGGTACATTGCAGCCAGGCAAGTACCGTTCTGGCAACCGCCAAACCCAGACAGGTCCATCGGATTGCCAGGCAGAGAAGCGTGATTCGTCACTCCAGAGAACACGTCTCCACTTCTCTAGAGTCCAGTGCTTTACAACACTGCACCCGACGCTTTGCATTGCACTTGGTGATGTAAGGCTTGGATGCAGTTGCTCGGCCATGGAAACTCATTCCATGAAGCTCACTGAAGATTGTGCCAATCTGAAGGCCACATGAAGTTTGGAGGTCTGTAGACTCCGCAGACAGTTGGCGACTTCTGTGCACTTCAGCATGCGCTGACCCCGCTCTGTCATTTTACGTGGCCTACCACTTCGTGGCCGAGTTGCTGTTGTTCCCAGTTGCTTCCACTTTGTTATAATACCACTAACAGTGACCGTGGAATATTTAGTAGCAAGGAAATTTCACGGATGGACTTGTTGCACAGGTGGCAACCTATCACGGTACCAAGCTTGAATTCACTGAGCTGAAAGCGACTGATTCTTTCACAAATGTTTATAGAAGTGTCTGCATGCCTAGGTGCTTGATTTTATACACCTGTGGCCATGGAGGCGATTGGAACACCTGAATCCAATGATTTGGAGGGATGTCCCAATACGTTTGGCAATATAGTGTATGAGACTACAATACATAAACACTGCATCATAAACTTTATAGTTCATTTAGAATATATAAGTAACTCAGTTTACAAGTGGGCCAACTGTAGCTCAGCTGAAAAGTTGAGATCCTAGACAGCTCCAAATCCTTGGAAGACTCCATCCAAAACCAATCCATTATGGGAAGGCATGTAAAGGGTGTTTACATGCAAATCGCACATGGTAACATCTACAAAATGCTGCTACAATTTATAAATATAATGTATTCTGGAAATACAGAAGAAATCAAACCATTTTAATGTTGACAAAAAAACTTTTATTAAATAGGTTATATACAATACAAAAGCAGTTTCTGAGAAGCCTTTACCAAGTGATTGCAGGTCTATAGCTCTGTCATAATTCAATGACGGGGAAGCATGTATCCTATGTTATTTACACCGGGAACAAAGATAAAAAACTGCAATCAGCTCCTATCAACACAATTATATGTACATGTTAAATATAAATTAGAATATCAAAGGCTATA